AATGTCATTGTTCATTTTTCAGATAGAGTTTTCTCAGACTATGCGAGTAGAGTACAATCAAACCCTAAGCCTGCATGAAGGCAGACCTGTGGTTATGAATTCTTAGGGAATACTTTTTTCTGCCACTTGATACTAAGGCCAAGATAGGCAAGACTAACCTGGTTCTTCTCTTTGCTGGTGGAAAGACTGTATTTTATTCTTTAGATTTAAGTGTACCAGGATTATGCATGGATCTCTGCCAACTTTCCCCCCAACTTGCCCATTACCATTTCACATGAGCTTTACTTCCATTTTGCTGCACTGCTATTACAGCCTGATGCTCAACACAAGTCCTTAAGATGGCCCTGGAGTCAGCTTATGCTTATCACACTATTATCAGTTCTTATGCCCTACCTCACCACCTATCTCTAACCTGGAGATTTCTCTTACTTGTGTCTCAATTTTGATTGGGTAGGGTGGGGGATTTTACTAGATTTTTTTCAATCAGAAGAGTTTTTAAAAATACAGTCGTCCCCACTTACCCATAGTGGATGACTGAAACTGCAAATAGTACCAAACGCTATATATATATAGTAATGTACAACATAACAATGTTTTGATCAGTGATGATCACAAATACAATGGTGTTTTTGTTTTGTTTTGTTTTGTTTTTGGAGATGGAGTTTCGCTCCTGTTGCCCAGGCTGGAGTGCAATGGCGCGATCTCGGCTCACTGCAACCTCCACCTCCCGGGTTCAAGTGATTCTCCTGCCTCAGCCTCCCAAATAGCTGGGTTTACAGGCACCTGCCACCATGCCCAGCTAATTCTGTATGTTCAGTAGAGATGGGGTTTCACTATTTGGCCAGGCTGGTCTCGAACTCCTGACCTCAGGCGATCCACCCGCGTTGGCCTCCCAAAGTGCTAGGATTACAGTCACGAGCCACCGCGCCTGGCCAATGTTGTTGTTTTTTTTCTTTCTGTACCTCTTCTATGTTTAGGTACACAAATACCATTGCATTGTAATTGCCTACAGTATTCTGTACAGTATCATGCTGTACAGGTTTCTAGCCTAGAAGCAGTAGGCTACACCATATAGCCTAAGTGTGTAGTAGGCTTGTATTAGTCTGTTTTCACACTGCTATAAAGAAATACCCAGACTGGGTAATTTATAAAGAAAAGAGGTTTAATCGACTTATACTTCTGCATGGCTGGAGAGGCCTCGGGAAACTTATAATCATGGCAGAAGGGGAAGTAGGCACATCTTACATGGTGGCAGGAAAGAAAGCACAGAGGAAATGCCAGACATTTATCAAACAACCAGATCTAGTGAGAACTCCCTCACTATCACAAGAACAGCATGGAGGAAACCACGCCCATGATCCAATCACCTCCTACCAGCTCCTTACCTTGACATGTGGGGGATTAGAATTCAAGATGAGATTTGTGTGAAGACACAAAGCCAAACTATATTAAGGCTATACCATCTAGGTTTGTGTAAGTACACTCTACAATGTTCACAATGACAAAATTACCTAACATCACATTTGTCAGAACATATCCCTATTGTTAAGTGATGTATGGTTGTACTATGGTTTTTGTCTATATAGTACATACATAACTATGATATAATTTAATTTATAAATTAGGCACAGTAAGAGACTAACAATAATCACGAAGTAGAACAGTTATAACAATTTACTGTAATAAAAGTTATGTGAGGCCAGGCACGGTGGTTCACACCTATAATCCCAGCACTTTGGGAGGCCAAGGTGAACACATCACAAGGTCAGGAGTTCGAGACCAGCCTGGCCAATATGGTGAAACCCTGTCTCTACTAAAGATTTAAAAAATTAGCTGGGCGTGGTTGTACGTGCCTGTAATCCCAGCTACTCAGGAGGCTGAGGCAGGAGAATTGCTTGAATCCAGGAGGTGAAGGTTGCCGTGAGCCAAGATTGTGCCACTGCACTCCATCCTGGGTGACAGAGCAAGACTCTGTCTCAAAAATAAAAAAATAAATAATTTTTAAAAAGATGGAGGTGGGGGAGTAGATATAACAGAGATGAATATGAAACAAAGCGGCTTGCAGAATGTTATTGTTCTCTTCAACTAATTCTCTTAGGTACCGCAAGTAAATTGTAAGTACCATGAATCTCTTGAATACATATATAACACAAAATTTATGGTATCTGCTTTACTACAGGAAGATGCTAACTGTTCATTTTTGTGGTTATTCTTTCTGTCTCTTCATCTTCCCATTACTTTCAATAGCAACTCTTTATCCACAATTTCCTTAGTTAAAAAAAAAACAAAAAAAAACAAAAAAAAAACAAAAAACTGGCCAGGCGCACTGGTTCACACCTGTAATCCCAGCTCTTTGGGAGGCTGAGGCAGGTGGATCACGAGGTCAGGAGTTCAAGACCAGTCTGGCCAACATAGTGAAACCCCGTCTCTACTAAAAATACAAAAAATTAGCCGGACATGGTGGTGTGCGCCTGTAATCCCAGCTACTCAGAAGGCTGAGGCAGGAGAATCACGTGAACCTGGGAAGCAGAGGTTGCAGTGAGCTGAGATCACACCACTGCACTCCAGTCTGGGCAAGGGCAGAACCAGACTCCATCTAAAAAAAAAAAAAAAAAAAAGCTTCCTGTTTTCTATTCTTCCTGTCATGAAAATAAATTTAAAATGGCTTCAATCCATTCATTTGGCTGACTTATTCGTACATCTATATGATCTGCAGTATCAGCCCATGAAACCTCATCAGTATGAACAGAGAGTAGTTACTTCTGATGATAGAAGAGTTACCTATTTAAGGACTACATTGTCCTTAGAAGGGTATGAGTGGCAATATCGGGACCTGGCTTCATAAGGATGTACTGAATTTTCAAGGTGTTGCTAAGCTTGGTCTTTTAAAAATTTCCATAGTGCCGGGCGCGGTGGCTCAAGCCTGTAATCCCAGCACTTTGGGAGGCCGAGACGGGCGGATCACGAGGTCAGGAGATCGAGACCATCCTGGCTAACACAGTGAAACCCCGTCTCTACTAAAAATACAAGAAAATTAGCCGGGCGTGGTGGCAGGCGCCTGTAGTCCCAGCTACTCGGGAGGCTGAGGCAGGAGAATGGCGTAAACCCGGGAGGCGGAGCTTGCAGTGAGCCGAGATCGCGCCACTGCACTCCAGCCTGGGGCACAGAGCAAGACTCCGTCTCAAAAAAAAAAAAAAAAAAAAATTTCCATAGTTTGCCAAATAAGCCTACTTAAGGAGTTACACCCAAATGCTGACTATCTTTGTCCCCTCCAAAAAGCACAAAAGGTCTTGAATAAGTGTGGTGATTTCTGCTCTGTTTTATAGGAAGACTGTGGCTGTAGTGTGTGAAATTAGAGGGGAACTGGAAGTCAGGACAGTTCAGAAACAAAAAAACACTCGTCATATAGGGAAATGGAGGATCGGAGCAGAAATAATAAGACCAGTGGTTTGGAAGTGATCTAAGATAATCTACGTCAACCTCCTTGTATCTATTACTTAAGTTGCAGGATGGGAAAAAGGATCCCAGAATGTAAGCTCCACCAGAAAGAGTCCTCACTGATTTATAATACTCCAGGTACCTAGAAAAATACCTGGCACATAACATGCATTCGATAAACACTCTTTTTTTTTTTTTTTTTTTTTTTTTTTTTTTTTTTTTTTTGAGAGAGAGTCTCACTCTGTCGCCCAGGCTGGAGTGCAGTGGCACGATTTCGGCTCACTGCAGCCTCTGCCTCCCAGGTTCAAGCGATTCTCCTGTCTCAGCCTCCTGAGTAGCTGGGATTATAGGCGCGCGCCACCACGCACGGCTAATTTTTGTATTTTTAGTAGACACGGGGTTTCGTCATGTTGGTCAGGCGGGTCTCGAACCCCTGACCTCAGTGATACACCCGCCTCGGCCTCCCAAAGTGCTGGGATTACAGGCGTGAACCACCTCGCCCGGCCAATAAACACTTGACTTAATACGGCAGGGCCAGACAGAATACAAGGAGAGAGAAGAAAGAAAAAAAAAAAAAAAAAGAAAGATGGAAAAATTAATCAGAACTTGGGACCAGAATTTGAGGGGTAAAGGAGTCAAGAAAACCAGTGACAGAACTAGGCATGTCAGGAAGGGGATCTAGTTTTAAAGGATGGCTATGATAACTAAAAGCTGGGTATTAACGCCTTTATTTCCAATATGATCTTAACTGCATTAAGTTTACTTGAACATGACCTTTACCTAGGTCAGAAGGGATGCAAATCCTCTAGATTTCCAGTAATTCTCTAACCATCTAAAAATGTTTCTTCCTAGATGTTGCCAGCACACATTCTGTGTTCTTTCGGCACACGAACGCGAGGGGGAGGAGGGCGTTAGCAGAAAAGACGCTGACAGGTAAGGGGGTCAGAGGGATAATCCTGTTCTGCCGCAAATGCAGCACGTTCCTCAGTCTTGGGGCGTCCATCAAGCGGAGAGCTGGAAGATGACTGAAAGTAACGGAGTAGAGGTGGAACTAGAACAAGGTCACGAGCTAGTGCCCAACTCGTGTAACTCCTGGTTCCAGGCTGTCCCTCTAGGATGCTGCTGGCGCCAGCCATGGGAGCAGGACAGAGTCTGGGTAAAGGTCGCCAGCTGACAAGATGGTAGCTAGGAGACCTCTAGGTGCGCCAAAACTAGGGCGTCTTTTCCTGGACGGGCAGAACGCCCTGCTCAAAGATCATTACATCACCACGCCCAAGAACTGATACTTTAGCAGGGCTACGCGCCAACAAGGCGACTCCGCCCCACCCTCCCCGCTCCTCCAGCACACGCAAGCGCACAGAGGCCCGCGGGTGACATCACCCCTCCCGACACTACCTCGTTGTCGTACCACCAAAGGCCTGTCGTAACGGCCGGGCAAGAAAGGCCTCGAGAGGAAGGGCACGCACGCCGCACATCCTAACATGCTCGCCTGCATGCGCGCGCAGGTCCTTTGCGCAGGCATTGGGACTGGAGCCAATGAGGTGCGGCGACGTTACTGCGTAGCCGCCAGCTCGACCGCACGTCAGGGCGCGGGAGCGCGGAGCGAGTTTGGTTGCACTTACACCGGTACTTAAGCGCGGACCGGCGTGTCCTTGGACTTAGAGAGTGGGGACGTCCTGCGTTGGAGCGGGAATTTTCCTTGCGCCGGCGATTAAAGAGGTGAGAGCGGGTCGCGGAAGCCGCACCTGGTTAGAGGCAGAGCTGTGGGCAGCGCGCACTCGCGAGCGACCGAGATCCACGCGGGGAGCCTCCGAGTGGAGCCCGCGCTGGGTGGGAGGGCCGGGAGTGAGGACCCTGGACTGTGGTCAGACCGAGCCGGGCGAGTAACCGCTTGAGGTGCGGCGGAGCCCTAACTAGGGACAGGTATGGTCTCAGTCAGGGACTAGAGGCGGCTTAGATACAGATCCGAGGAAGACGCGGCCCCTTCCGTAGTGGTTGCTGAGGGGCTATGGAAATGATAGGCAAGACTTCCCACCCGGAAAGCCGAAGCTTAGCACTTCACGTTCTCCTTCAGAGGGCAAAAGCTGTTGCTTTTCTAATAAGGGGCCATTTCTTTACGTGGGCACGTTTCTTCCGTCAGTCGTTCTGACATCCTAGAAACAGTTTCATCAGTCACCTTGAAACCGACTTGGATGGGTGACCTCATGTTCGCCCCAGGGGATCACAGGTAGGAGAGTTGGGATGTCCCGGGGGACCGTGCAGCCTGCCCCTGCGTTCCCATTTACAAGTTCGAGTGTCAGGCTACTCCTGTGAACTGGGCAGGTAGAAACAGCCAGTACCGCTTTTTAAACATTTGTGTGCTTTGCAATATCTTCAGGGAGAGGTAGCTTTACATTGTAGTAAGATTAAATGACTAGGCCTTCTTAAAAATTGAAATTGTGGTGATTCTGGCTTAATGTGATCGCCCTTCAGCTTCAGATCTGTGACTTAGTGACCATGATTTTCTCTTCTGAAACTGGAGTTTGAATTAGGTTCCCTCTTTGCTTGCTTGGGCTTTAACGTTCCTTCACGTATACACACGAAAATAGGTTTTTGAGGAGGTGCTCCTAAAAAATGTTTTTGGTATTAAAGAGTATTTGGTATAAAGAGTATTAAAGCAATACAAGATTAATTCTGGTATTTAATGACATAAATTACCAATGGATTGGTAATTAAGTGGCTAGAGTGGTCATTCATTTACACTGTATTTGTTACCTGAGGAAAAATTACTAAGTTGGGGCTTTCGTTTTTAGAATTAAATATGGGTGATGTTGAGAAAGGCAAGAAGATTTTTATTATGAAGTGTTCCCAGTGCCACACCGTTGAAAAGGGAGGCAAGCACAAGACTGGGCCAAATCTCCATGGTCTTTTCGGGCGGAAGACAGGTCAGGCCCCTGGATACTCTTACACAGCCGCCAATAAGAACAAAGGTAAGAGTCACTTGTTAAATAAAACAGTACAAAACGCACGAATGTCACCTGTGACACACCATCAGGAGTGTGAAATACTTACCCGATGCATTCTTTCTTATTTAGGTATCACCTGGGGAGAGGATACACTGATGGAGTATTTGGAGAATCCCAAGAAGTACATCCCTGGAACAAAAATGATCTTTGTCGGCATTAAGAAGAAGGAAGAAAGGGCAGACTTGATAGCTTATCTCAAAAAAGCTACTAATGAGTAATAATTGGCCACTGCCTTATTTATTACAAAACAAATGTCTCATGACTTTTTTATGTGTACCATACTTTAATAGATCTCATACACCAGAATTCAGATCATGAATGACTGACAGAATATTTTGTTGGGCAGTCCTGATTTAAAACTAAGACTGGCTTGTGGTTAAATGAATATGTTCAGTTTTTGAATTTTAATAGTAATTCCAATTCAGTAAATGCTATCACTGTTTACCCCTTCTAAAGATATGATTAGACTTTGTTAGTAATGTTCAACTTTTCGCAAAGATGGTGAGTGCCATCTTAAAACTTACTGGAGATTGGTTTTATATTTAGATTTATATAGCTGGTTATGTGAATATATTTAAATACTGGGGAAATTCCTTCACTGTCTCAGAACTAAGCAAGATTCACCTGTGTTTTGTGTTCATTTGCCTCTTAAAGGCAAGGGTTGAAGATAAATAAGGTAGCAACGTCTAGAGTTTTGGCCTTAACATTGCCAATCTAATTATAATTCCCTGTATTTAAAATGGTTCCTTTTACTTATTGAAAAGCATTTTAGTATGGTTTATGTGTAATATTAAAGATTATTCAACACTTCTCACATCTTACAAATCTATAAGGTCACATGCTTTTAAAATAGTAGCAAGTTAAACTTCACTCTTGAATTCTTTACAATCTAAGTCAAACTAAGTTATAATTTAGGATTGTCTTTAAACAGCCATTCAGAAACATAAAACTGTAGAACTGTGTATTTGTGATTGGGAATGGTGCTTTTGCCAACGTAAAAGGATTAAAGTAGCGGAGATATACACAAATTTTAAAATGTGTGATCGCAAGACTAAAGATAATTAAAAAGAAAACCACAGATCATGATTTTTTGACTGTGCTTGATTTCATGACTGATGCAGAAACTTTAATGATTAAAAAGTGCAGGAGCCCTAAATATCAGTGCAGCAGCATTAGCCAGTCATGGTGCTAGATTGTTTACTTGGTTTTCTAGGATTGCCTGAACTGGAATAACACTTCACTAATTGACTCTTAGTTTCTTTGCCCAGATTGAGAACTGCAGCATTTATGGCAGACATGGACAGACAAATGCTTCTGGTCATAGTTTTGTGATGTGTAACAGTGTAATTACATACTGAATTATTTCATGCATAGTCTGTGCCATACACATTTAGAATAGTCCTTGGAGATTTTATGGAGATGGTGAACACAAGGTAAGACATAAAGAAGGATGAGAAAATAAATCTGTGCTGGCGAGCTGAGAGCTGTATCTTTGTGGGACAGTGAGAAGACTGGGAAGATGTAAATCCATAGTCTCAAAGGTGATAGGGATGATTAGATAGGTGTTTAAGGCCTGAAAGCAATTTATAACATGTGAGTCTTATTTTTATTTATAGAAGAAATGTGGAAAGCTTGCTGCAATTCGTATTTGAAATCCTAGTCTGAGTTATGGCGGGGAATTTAAAGATGCATCCTGGAAATCCTTTTAAGATTTCAGCCTTTGAAAGGCCTTGTAGCAGAGGACTTGGTGACTGCATAAAGTTAGTGGTATTCAGGGACAGTGTAGCAATTAACTTACAAGGGGACAATCCTGGACTAATGTGAAAGACCTACAGTAAAGGCTAGAGAGTTGATTTTCTTTTTTTTTTTTTTGGCATTCTGGAAATGATACAGGAAACAAACATATTAAGATAGATGTAGAAATACAGAAATGTGTTCAACCTTTCATCTCGGCTAGTTGTGAGGTTTTGTTTGTTTTTTGAGACATGGTCACACTGTCGCCAAGGCTGGGGTACAGTGGTGTGCTCTTGGCTGGCTGCAACCTCCACTTCCCAGACTCAAGATTTCTCCCACTTAAGCTTCCCAAGTAGCTGGGACTACAGGTGTTCACCACCATGCCCAGCTAGTTTTTTTGTAAAGATGGAGTTTTGCCATGTGGCCCCAGGCTGGTCTCAAACTCCTGAGCTCAAGCAATCTGTCCACCTGCCTTGGTTTCCCAAAGTGCTGGGATTATAGGCGTGAGCCACCAGGTCCTGCCTGGTTTTCAAATTCAGAAATCTTATTTAACCCAGAAGTAATCAGCCCAATAGTAACTTAGGTTTAGGTTTAATTTTTTTTCAGGTTTAAAATTTCTCTTGTTTCTTTTTTCTCTTTTTTCTTTTTTTTTTTTCTGAGACGGAGTCTCGCTCTGTCGCCCAGGCTGGAGTGCAGTGGCCGGATCTCAGCTCACTTCAAGCTCTGCCTCCCGGGTTTACGCCATTCTCCCGCCTCAGCCTCCCGAGTAGCTGGGACTACAGGTGCCCACCACCACGCCTGGCTAGTTTTTTGTATTTTTTTAGTAGAGACGGGGTTTCACCATGTTCACCAGGATGGTCTCGATCTCCTGACCCATCGTGATCCGCCCGTCTCGGCCTCCCAAAGTGCTGGGATTACAGGCTTGAGCCACTGCACCCGGCCCTCTTTTTTCTTTTCTTTTCTTTTATTTTTTAGATGGACTCTCACTCTGTCGCCCAGGCTAGAGTGCAGTGGCGCAATCTCGGCTTACTGCAACCTCCACCTTCCGTTTTCAAGTGATTCTCCTGCCTCAGCCTCCCGAGTAGCTGGGATTGCAGGCACTGGCCACCATGCCTGGCTGATTTTTGCGTTTTTAGTGGAGACAGCATTTCATCATGTCGGCCAGACTGGTCTTGAACTCCTGACCTTGTGATCCACCCACCTTGGCCTCCCAAAATGCAAGGATTACAGGTGTGAGCCACCACGTCCAACCAATTTTTCTCATTTCTGTACCTCCTATATTAAGGTCTGTGTTGGCACAGATGAGTAACTGCCGTGTTCTAGGTCAGTTATGCCCAAGTACTTCTGGTGGTTTAAAATGTAAGTGATTCTGTAACTTTTTATTTTATTTTATTTTATTTTATTTTATTTATTTATTTATTTATTTTTCGAGACAGAGTTTCACTCTTGTTGCCCAGGCTGGTGTGCAATGGCGCAATCTCTGCTCACCGCAACCTCCGCCTCCCAGGTTTGAGCGATTCTCCTGACTCAGCCTCTCGAGTAGCTGGGATTACAGGCATGTGCTACCACGCCCGGCTTGTTTTGTATTTTTAGTAGAGATGGGGTTTCTCCGTGCTGGACAGGCTGGTCTCGAACTCCCGACCTCAGGTAATCCACTCGCCTTGGCCTCCCAAAGTGTTGGGATTATAGGCGTGAGCCACCGCGCTCGGTCGATTCTGTAATTTTTTAAAAAGGACGTTTCTATCAGGGATATATACTTTCAGAAATAAGGAAACTGGGGAAGAAAGAGCTAGCACTAGAACCCACATGTTTTCATTTCTAATGCTTCACTGTAGGTGGCTCGGTTGGTAGAATCAAAAGTAAGAGCCAGATGTATTTAAGGGATATTCAAATGCCACCTACACTCTATTTTGTCTAGAACAGTGCTGTCTAATAGAACTTTCTGTGACGATGGATATTTTCTAGGCTTTTGCTGTACAGTATGGTAGCCACTAACTACATGTGGCTATTAGGCCCTTGAAATACAGCTAGCATGACTAGAAAGTATTTTATTTTAAATTTATATAGGCACAAATGGCTAGTGGCTAATGTATTGACAGTCTGGGTCTAGGACTAGAACCAGTGGTCTGTAACAAAAGTACTTCCCCTGTACTCTTATCAAATCTAGAATTAGCTGGGTGTGGTTACTCACGTGTGTAATCCCAGCACTTTGGGAGGCCAAGGCAGGCAGATCACTTGAGGTCAGGAGTTTGAGACCAGCCTGGCCAGCATGGCAAAATATAAAAATTGGGCAGGTGTGGTGGCGGGCACCTGTAATCTCAGCTACTTGGGAGGCTGAGGCACAAGAATCACTTGAACCTGGGAGGTGGAGGTTGCAGTGAGCCAAGATTGTGCCACTGCATTCCAGCCTGGGTGACAAGAGTGAAACTGTCTCCAGAAACAAAAAAATCTAGAATTCTTGCAAGTATGTTATATTGTCCTTCAGAACAGATTCCAGTTCCTTTTGTGCTCACCTTTATAATTTTACCGTATGTTTTACCTGTTCGTAAGTTGGCAGTTCATTTTAGATAGGTAACATTGTGGTAGTAGCTAGGGATATACCTTTTGTCATCCTTTTCCTGCATTTTTCTCAGATTCTTTTATAGATACACATTTTTGCTTTAACCACTGAAGATTGCTGTAAATTATAAAAGGTGATAGAATCCACATGGCTGTCAAGAAGGAGGTCGTACTAAGGACAGTTGACTGACTAGTCTCAGATTGTTTAATATCATTTAAACTTGGGCGAGAGTAAACTAAATGGGCGTCGTGGTGCACACCTGTAGTCCCAGCCACTCTGAGGCAGGAGGACTGCTTGTGCCCAGAAGTTTGAGACTGCAGTGTAGCTATGATTGTGCTACTACACTCCAGCCTGGGCAACAGAGTAAAGCAAACTCCATCTCTTAAAAAGAAAAAAACGATGTGGTCTGCGTGTGGTGGCTCATGCCTGCAATCCCAGCACTTTGGGAGACCGAGGCAGGCAGATCACCTGAAGTCAGGAGTTTGAGACCAGCCTGGCCAACATGGTGAAACCCCATCTCCACCAAAAATATAAAAACTAGCTGGGTGTGGTGGCAGGCACCTGTAATTGCAGCTATTTGGGAGGCTGAGGCAGGAGAATCGCTTGAACCTGCGTGCCATCGCACTCCAGCATGGGCAACAATAGTGAAACTCCATCTCAAAAAAAAAAAAATAGTTTTCTTAGAATGGAAGATATTCATTCATGAGCTCTTTTGGCAATCCGTCATCTTACCAGAATATTCTGAAAACCAGTAAGATGTTGCCAAGTTGGGGGTGAGAGCTATGTAATCCAAGGCATATGCCTGACCGAGTATACAAATACACCTGACCAGAAACTTTGTCTCCCACATTAGTCTCTTCTAGGCACTGCCGGGGTACATACTGATCTGCTGCTTTGGCTGTATTTTCTGTGCCTCAGAATAACCATTGTCCTGGTGTTCATATCCTTAGAGTTTAGTACAAAACTGGATATCCATTTACTAGGTTCCAAGTTATCTTAGTTGGAGTTTGGGGTATTTGAAAACATCATACCCTCAGGCTATCATTTCCCACAGAAAGCTAAGTAAATTTACTGCGTCCATTTCTCAAAGAGTAAATGTGCAGGTTGTATGTGTCTATGAACATTTAAACATGTTAAATTTAACATTTTAAATGTAAACATTTAAATATGTCTGTAGTTTGAACAGTGTAGTTTTAAGAAAGGACCACTGGACTAGTGTAATGCAGAAAACGCTGGGTCTAGGATTAGGAGAAAATTGTGTTTAGCGTGTGTCAATAAACAGCCTGTGGACCCAGTCTGACCAGATGCCTGTTTTTTAAAGAAAACTTTATTGGGCCAGGTGCAGTGGCTCACACCTGTAATCCCAGCACTTTGGGATGCCGGGGCAGGCAGATCACGAGGTCAGGAGTTTGAGACCAGCCTGACCAACATGGTGAAAGCCCGTCTCTACTAAAATACAAAAATTAGCTGGGGGTAGTGGTGGGCACCTGAAATCCAGCTACTTGGGAGACTGAGGCAGGAGAATCGCTGGAACCTGGGAGGCAGAGGTTGCAGTGAGCCAGGATCAGGCCACTGCACTCCAGCCTGGGCGACAGAGCAAGACTCCGTCTCAAAAAAAAAAGAAACTTTATTGGATCACAGTCACATTCATTAGTGTATTGTTTAGGGCTGCTTTGGGCTACAACATTAGAGGTTAGTGGTTGTGACAAAGCCTAAAATATTTAGTGTGGCACTTTACAGTTTCTCAGTCCTGTGTTTAGAGCTTTGCTTTGCCAATCTGTGATTAACACAA